GGGTGGTACAGTGGTTGCTAGTGTGTTCTGGGTGTTTAAGTGGTTGCTAAGGTCTGGGTGGTTCAGTGGTTGCTAGGGTGTGCTGTGTGTTTAAGTGGTTGCTAGGGTGTTCTGGGTGGTTCAGTGGTTGCTAGGATGTTCTGGGTGGTTAAGTAGTTGCTAGGGTGTTCTGGGTGGTTCAGTGGTTGCTAGAGTGTTCTGTGTGTTTAAGTGGTTGCTAGGGGGTTCTGTGTGTTTAAGTGGTTGCTAGGGTGTTCTGGGTGGTTAAATGGTTACTAGTGTGTTTTGGGTGTTTAAGTGGTTGCTAAGGTCTGGGTGGTTTAGTGGTTGCTAGTGTGTTCTGGGTGTTTAACTGGTTGCTAAGGTCTGGGTATTTAAGTGGTTGCTAGGGTGTTCTGGGTGGTTCAGTGGTTGCTAGGATGTTCTGGGTGGTTAAGTGGTTGCTAGAGTGTTCTGTGTGTTTAAGTGGTTGCTAGGGTGTTCTGGGTGGTTAAGTGGTTGCTAGGGTGTTCTGGGTGGTTCAGTGGTTGCTACGGTGTTCTGGGTGGTTAAGTGGTTGCTAGGGTGTTTGGGGTGGTTAAGTAGTTTGCTAGTAGGGTTGGGTGTTTACAAATGTAATAATGTTAAGTTTAACATACTAGAGTAAATTAATTTGACCTAAACCAACTAAATTGTGTTGACTCAAATAAACTGGAAAATAATTGAATTAACTAAATTAAATAAATGTTCTTCAGTTAAATTAAGGGTAGTGAATTCATTTTTGAGTGTTAGATTAAAAACTTACCTGACTAAAAGTGGTACTTGAGTACTTTAGCACTTGAAATCCTAAATTCACAAAAACAGAAAGAAATATAAATAAATCTAAACCGAAATACTAAAAACCAATACAAATGACAAAAGTAACAAAATTACCTAAACTTAAGTTAGAATAAAAACAGAAAACATAAAAATAAAAGCTACTTCAAAATTTGAATAAGTAATACAATAGTATGAAACAACACTGGTCTCATTTGCGTTTATTTTTATTTCTCCAAAGGTCTTCCCAGACCTTCCCGTGGAGAGAAGAAGACGACCTGGTCCCGGGCGTCAAACATCTGATCTACTGTATGTGTCGGGTGTCAGCCCATCTCTTCTGTGCTGTGTGTTCACCAGGTCGTGAGGGACGCTGGCTATCGAATCTGACGAAGTGTGTCGTGGATGCTGCTCTGACGCAAGCAAACCATTGAGTTGTAGTGTCTGGTGTCAGGGAAACGCATAGCAACGCAAATGCTGCCTATAAATACGTCTCTTAAGTCTGGCTATTTTAAAACGCCGTGTCGAAGCGAGCAGTTCAAGGCCACAACCCATCACCTATAGAGCTGGTCGAGTCTGGGGACTGCAGCTGTACTGCTCTAATGGACTAATGGTTGTTTTGTGCTTTTACACAAATAGAACATTTCTGTTTTTCAGTTCGTGACGGAAATACAAAATCGGTGTGTTTTATGTTTAGTTAATTACATGTGCAAGTATTTGCCTTTCTTTTAGATTTTGCTTGCCAAAATCTGCCAAAAATCTGTAGGTGGTTGCCAGGGTGTTGCTATGTTGTTCTAAATGGTTAGAGTAATGCTATGCGGTTGCTAGGGTGTTCAGGGTAGTTGCCAGGGTGTTGATTTAATGTTTCTAAAGTTATTTGAGTGGGTTGAGAGAGTGTTGCTATGCGGTTGCTAGGGTGTTCAGGGTAGTTGCTTTACTGTTTCTAAATAAATTCGTGCCGGTTGAGAGAGCGTTGCTATGCAGTTGCTAAGGTTTTCCGGGTAGTTGCCAGGGCGTTGCATAATTGCATTACTGTTTCTAAAGTGGTTTGAGTGGGTTGAGAGAGCGTTGCTATGTGGTTGCTGGGGTGTTCAGGGTAGTTGTCAGGGCATTGCTTTACTGTTTCTAAAGTGATTTGTGTGGTTGTGAGATCATTGCTATGCAGTTGCTAGGGTGTTCAGGGTAGTTGCCAGGGCGTTGCTTTACTGTTTCTAAAGTGATTTGCGTGGGTTGAGAGAGCATTGCTATGCAGTTGCTAGGGTGTTCAGGGTAGTTGCCACGGTGTTGCGTTAATGTTTCTAAAGTTATTTGAGTGGGTTGAGACAGCGTTGCTATGCAGTTGCTAGGGGACAGCGTTGCTATGCAGTTGCTAGGGTGTTCAGGGTAGTTGCCAGGGCATTTCTTTCTTGTTTCTAAAGTGATTTGCAAAGTTGCGAGAGTGTTGCTATGCAGTTGCTAGGGTGTTCAGGGTAGTTGCCACGGTGTTGCTTTAATGTTTCTAAAGTTATTTGAGTGGGTTGAGAGAGCGTTGCTATGCAGTTGCTAGGGTGTTCAGAGTAGTTGCCAGGGCGTTGCTTTAGTGTTTCTAAGGTGAATTTTAAAACAAACAGTTTGCAAAACAACACATTTAAAATGTTAATTGGATTTTGACCACACTTTATGATTGTTCGCCTGCATGTGAGCAATTGTAATAGTGATGCTTGACTTGGTAAACAACCACACAGTCTTAAAAAATATGCCTTTCAAATTCACTACTCAAATCAATAAACAATAAAGCAAGACACTATATGCGTGGTGAAGTCTGGATCATCCAGACACACAATGCGCAGTGCAGTCATGGAGAACACACTGTAAAAGAAAGACACATTTCCTTCCATTCATTATTGAAAGTTTTACTCACACGAGAAAGCTCGTTACAATCGACCCGACCCAAAGCGCTCTTTAACTGAGACTTCAAACAAACAGCAAGAGTGACTGGAGAAATAATTAAAGCCAGTCGCCTCTAAAAGAGTTACAAGAGACTTCAGTGCGGCTCATTCGGTCAGAGTTCAAAGTCATAACAGTTTGTTTTATCATTCGGCTTTCAAAATGGATGCTTCAGCACAAATATAATGACACATTCAATTTTATGCAACAGCTGCAATTAACTATATTAGATTAGATAATATAATTGATAGATATAGATATATTATACAGAATATTCGTGTATTCAGATGATTTTTGAAATCACTCACTCCACATGATACCACAAGATAACGTATTCTGTTTGCACAGGAGTTTATTAAAAATAGTTCTGTCGACAGCTTGCAGATATAACATTTCCAAAGACACTTATGGCGATTACAATCATACAATAATTTGAAACTGGATTGTTATTAAGACACATTCTTTTCATTCTCCCATCAAACATAAGCACCTGAAATCAACGATTCACGATTTTCATTTTGTTAAAATGATCAAAAGTGCTCAAATACACATAAAACTGTCATCTTAAATGCGGTTATCAGTCTTTTTAAGTTACTTCACATGCCGCTCAAGTCAGAGCATGTCTGTCGTCATAGTCCGAAGTACAAGAATATAAACACAATAAACTCAATAAAAGAAAATAATAGCATGTGGTTTTCCAGCCCATTGTTGTTTATACATCATAACACTAGTGATATAAGTACCGTACGTCTACGAAAGTGACATATAAAGTAGTTGGGTGTCAGAAAAACGCTCTCAATGAAGAAAAAAATCATTGTTCTTCATTTCCTCATTGTCCTCCCTTTCCTTTATGTCTCAAAGTGCGTCTTTCCATTAATCCGACCGGACAGGAAGCAGCCGTGGATTAATACGGCACTTCCCGTCTCTGGGTTTGCACAGCGGTTACTGGTCTTAATTTTGCCTTGGCCCGCGTCCCAGATAACCGAACGGTCCTGCCTGACAGGCAAAAGAGACTGAGGAGAAAACAAAAAAAGAGAAAGCGCTTACAAACCACTTGAAAGGTTGGCTAGCGCTGCGGCCCGTCAGAAGCTGTGAGGTCGTGAAAACGAGCGTAACCGTTGTCCCACACTGCAAAAAATTACTTTCTTACTGTACATAGTCTTGTTTTCCAAGTCAAATATCTAAACATTCCTAAATCAAGATACATTTACTTGAAAAAGGGCCTATTATGCCCTTTTTGGGCTCTACTAGAACAGGTTTTCATGCTTGAATGTTCAAAACCCAGTATTTTTCGCATATTCTCCATTATTGCGGCTCCTCTCTTCCCAGTCTGTCAGTAACGCTCTGTTTAGTTCCTGTCTCTATGAAGCCCCTCCTTCTGAAAAGCACACAGTGCTCTGATTGGTCGGCTGGACCAGTGTGTTGTGATTGGCTAACAGCTTTGAGCGTGTTTCTTAAATGTCACGCCCATATAATCGCGAGTTTTAACAACTCAACCAGACATTACCTCTTTATTTACCGTATGCCTTAGGCGGGAATAATTTAAATTAGGAATATTGTGTTCATTCGCACACGATAACTCAAGACTACAATCTACCAAGAGCAGCGCAAATTAGCGTCTGGCTTAAGACATGCTTTTTGGGTTGGTAAATAATTTGGGTGGCAAATAATGGCGCAAATACCAGTAAATTGACGAGCGCAAACCTTAGTAAATCACTTTTAAATACTCTCTTCCCACAAATATTGCATCTGAAAGGAAAACTCCTACAAATGCATATGCAATAAGGTCAGCCGCAAAAATAACCCTGTCCACGCCTTTTCAGCGCTAGTTTTTCACTGTGTCTTTAGTAAAACCTAACAGTAGTTTGTTAGCGCCAAAAATGACACAAGCTGTTAGTAAATCTGGCTCTAAGTCTTGTTTTCTGAAAAATGTATCAAAATTAAGTGAGTTTGTGCTTAAAACAAGAACAAATATCTGTCAATTGGATAAGAACAGTAAACGGAAAACTAGATTATTTTTCTGACCCCGTTGACATTAGTTTTAAGCATAAACCCACTTCATTTTGATCATTTTTTCAAAAAACATGACTTAATAGCATCTCAAATAAATGTACCTTGATCTAAGGTATTTGTAATGGAAAACAAGACAAAAACGCTGAGTAAGAAAACAATTTTTTCATTTCTTTTCTTGTTGCAGTGCAGCTGTGTCTCGACATCTGGACGCATGCAGTCTCGATTAAATGCTCCGAACGCTCATTCTGAGACCCATTCGTGAAATCCCGTCATCCGGTTTTTTTCTCCGAGAGCACTCGGCTGCTCTGAACTGGGGGCAAAACATCTGGACATTGTCCCAAAATGTGAGTGTAACGACGTTTTGACTGGTTTTTGGAGTCCGTGCTTGTGTGGAAATCAGGCGAAGATGCTCCTCTGATGGGCCATCAGGGCTGTCTGACTCTCTCTTCTCCTTTCCTTCTTTCTCTCCATCCGCACCTTCCAGCAGACGGCGCTCAAGGCGAGCAGCACCAGCCCGGCCGAGAGCAGCACCAGTCCGAAGTAGGATATGGTGGAGCCGTGAGAGTTGAAGCTGTAGGCCACGGCGGTCACCACGATCCCGGCGATCAGGACCACCACGCCGAACGGGACGGTGCACCGGTAGCAGGAGAGCTCGGCTCCCCCGGTGGCCGCCGTCAACTGCACCTCGTTGACCAGAGGAACGGTGACGGCCGCCGGTGGCTCGTTGTTGTTGGTTTTCTCGGCCAGGATTCGCTCGGGAGCTCCGGGGATCGTCATGGTGTCTTTCACAAGCTCGGCGGGCATCGCAGGGTCAAGGGTCAGTGTGTTTCGAGGCATCAGGCGAAGTCTGAGCCGTCTCTACTCAATATTCTTCTCACCGTTTCCACACCTGTAGGAAAAGCAAGGCGAGTTTATTACAAAACAGGGTTTTATACAATTAGAAAATGGTTTTAAAGCCTTTTTAAGAATAAGCAATAGAGCACTGCAGTGTTTTTGGAGGACTAAGTTTTAGTCGCATAACATCGGTTAACGGAAACGCAGTCATTTCGCAATCGTTTTTTATCGACATTTAGAAAATATCTCAAAAGTTTTGCGCAAATCTGTAATGCGGCTACTTTGGTTTCCTCAACGGGATTCCATTGGCTTTTGGATTATTGCAGAAAATAAGCTGTGACCAACAAAAGTTTATGATTCTGGCGCATTTAGTTCATCATGACAATCTTCACAAATTGAATACAACTTAAATGAATGAATTTTGAAGCCTAAATACAACCGCCAAAAATGCACCACGGTCACATTCCAGTTAAGTTATTTACAGGGTTTTATACAATGAGTTTTAAAACCTTTTTTAAGAATAAGCAATAGAGCATTGCTGTATTTTTGGAGGCCGAACAATAAGTTTGCATCACTAGCCACGTTTCCATTACCCTTCAAATTGCGCAAATTGAAATTGGGAATTGAAAATGCACCCAATGTGTTTCCCAAACTTTTGTCGCAAACTGGTCGTTCAACCACGTTGGTTTATGACGTCACGCACGTGGTGGAGTAATAACTACTTTTAATTAATCAGTTTGAGATCGAATTAATGCAAGGTGTTTTGATATACATTACAGACATGGCATCTGAGGAATATTTCAAATTTTTCTCAGTTATATAGTTTATTTCCAGATTCAATCATAGGCTCGTTCTTACGTACTAGGGCACGTTCGCACACGCGCAGTCTTCAAAAACTACGCTTTAAATCTCTTGACAAACTAAAAGACGTAAATTACATTTGTATGTATTCTAAATAAAACATACTGAATGTCAGCTTGCTTATTTTGCTCAAGATATGGCTTTATTAAATCCACATGTCATGCAAACAAGAAACCACACAACTCTGGGATGCTGCTTGCGAATGTTCATTAGAACTATGTTTTCGGGAAACGTACTATGCTGATAACGACGGTACTTGCGACCATAGTTGGCTAACAATGCTTTTGGGAAACGCACGCCATGGTCTGGTTGTCGATCATTGCATTGCTCTGCGATTGCTATGGTTTTCTAGGTAGTTGCTAGGGTGTTTTTGAATGTTTTTGTGCGTTGCTAGGTTGGTTGCTAGTGGTGTTTGTTTGTTTATAGGAGTCAGAACGAGTTACACGCTGAAGTGCAATACTTAATGATCTAAACAAAGCCCAAACTCGATGTATGAGCAATAGTAATAGTGATGGTTGAGCGAGTAAACACATGCGAGCGCAGGGCAGGTCTGTGGAGTTGTTTTGGTTTTCAAGCGGGAAGAGCCCCCAGATCCCCTTTCTGACCACAGACGCAGGCCGACCGTCGTCTGAATGACGCAAAGAGAGCTGCCACATTCCCTGGAGAGCTCACGATATGACATTACAAACCGGCCCATGAAACACGAGCGCCGTATAAATTAACAGTCACTTCTCAAGGGGCTTTTTCTTAAGAGGGTCAACAGAGCTGCCAAACGCCCGTGACACTTCTCTCTGACCGTTACGCATTACAGCTGCGCGGTTTAGCCTGGATTTTAACCCTCATGTGCTTCAGATTCAATACTTTTACATTTACAGTAGATCTTTCTTTACAATCAATATAAACTGACGGATATTGTTGAACTTTAGTTTTTACTCTAAACTGAGCATGCAGGTTTTTTTTTGTTTTTCAGAAAAGTGGCGGGGTACCCATGAAGGGTAGTAACATTGTTTCTTTATAGCAAAAACACAATACAATAAAACAAATCTGAATAGAGTGGCAAACTCATTCACAGAATCTGAAAATGGCATTTGCTTATAATTTTATAGCCCCAAAAATATACATATAATATTATTTTCATGCAGAACTAGATGTTTGAAATATCAAGCTAAATCTTATTTATAATCAGTTGTCATAAAAGTTTATATAGTCATAAAATATCAAATTAATGGCTACCTTAATGCTGTTTTCGAGTGTTTAAAGGGTGTTGAAATCTTTCAAATAAGTGCATTTGTGCACTAAATAGGGCAAAAACAGTATTTTATTGCTTTATATTTATAGTGAATTAAAATGCTATCATTTATGTATTAAAACATTTGTTTTGGTGACTTAAAATAACATATAATCTTTATATTACCATTGCAATTACATTAAAACTTAGTGTTTTTAAGAAACCGACATTAAAGGTCTTGTATTTCACTAGCTATACATCAGAAACTGCATGCATGAAGGCAGCAGAAACATTCACTAATGCCACGTGCGACACCCTTACGAATATGATATTTTATGAATGTGAAATAATGGGTTTGGTGCATGCATGAAGGTAATCTGAGACAGGGGCAAGTCATTCACCTCGCACGTGTTTTCCATCCTGCCCTCTGAAGATCCTGCTCAGCAAACCGAAGGCGTTAAAGTCCCGTTATACTCCAAACACAGGCGGCTTCTAGGATCTCCTCCTCTTGAAGCTTGTCGGAGACTGACTGTGTGTGCAGGTCTCATTCACTAGAAGTGCGTCTGAGTTCCTCCTCCTCCATGTGAACTAGCGCTGCTTCAGTCTGAACACACGGGGAGGGGCGTAAGCTTTGTAAACCTTGTCATCTGCTGCTCGCTGATGGTTTGCAGTTATGGTCATGTAATATACACTCACCGGCCACTTTATTAGGTACCCCATGCTAGTAACGGGTTGGACCCCCTTTTGCCTTCAGAACTGCCTCAATTCTTCGTGGCATAGATTCAACAAGGTGCTGGAAGCATTCCTCAGGGAGTTTGGTCCATATTGACATGATGGCATCACACAGTTGCCGCAGATTTGTCGGCTGCACATCCATGATGCGAATCTCCCGTTCCACCACATCGCAAAGATGCTCTATTGGGTTGAGATCTGGTGACTGTGGAGGCCATTTTAGTACAGTGAACTCATTGTCATGTTCAAGAAACCAATTTGAAATGATTAGAGCTTTGTGACATGCTGGAAGTAGCCATCAGAGGATGGGTACATGGTGGCCATAAAGGGATGGACATGGTCAGAAACAATGCTCAGGTAGGCCGTGGCATTTAAACGATGCCCAATTGGCACTAAGGGGCCTAAAGTGTGCCAGGAAAACATCCCCCACACCATTACACCACCACCACCAACCTGCACAGTGGTAACAAGGCATGATGGATCCATGTTCTCATTCTGTTTACGCCAAATTCTGACTCTAACATCTGAATGTCTCAACAGAAATCGAGACTCATCAGACCAGGCAACATTTTTCCAGTCTTCAACTGTTCAATTTTGGTGATCTCTTGCAAATTGTAGCCTCTTTTTCCTATTTGTAGTGGAGATGAGTGGTACCCGGTGGAGTCTTCTGCTGTTGTAGCCCATCCGCCTCAAGGTTGTGCGTGTTGTGGCTTCACAAATGCTTTGCTGCATACCTCGGTTGTAACGAGTGGTTATTTCAGTCACTGTTGCCCTTCTATCAGCTCGAACCAGTCTGGCCATTTTCCTCTGACCTCTGGCATCAACAAGGCATTTCCGCCCACAGAACTGCCGCTCACTGGATGTTTTTTCTTTTTCGGACCATTCTCTGTAAACCCTAGAGATGGTTGTGCGTGAAAATCCCAGTAGATTAGCAGTTTCTGAAATACTCAGACCAGCCCTTCTGGCACCAACAATCATGCCACGTTCAAAGTCACTCAAATCAACTTTCTTCCCCATACTGATGCTCGGTTTGAACTGCAGGAGATTGTCTTGACCATGTCTACATGCCTAAATGCACTGAGTTGCCGCCATGTGATTGGCTGCTTAGAAATTAAGTGTTAACGAGCAGTTGGACAGGTGTACCTAATAAAGTGGCCGGTGAGTGTAGTTCATTGAGAGGAACTATATAACTTTGCCAGTGTGTTAGTTTGGGTATAATTAATTTTGGTTAAAGCTTTAAAAATAAGTCATTAATATCAAACAAAGGTAATGCTCATCATGACAGTATAACTTTGCGGCATTAAAAATGGCGTATTATGCCCTTTTACAAAGTTGTGATTTTTTGTGTGGCTCTTTTGGAGTCGATTTTCACGCAACAATATTTTTTTCCTCATGTTTTTGTTGCGGCTCCTCTCTTCCCATTCTGTCAGTAAACCCATTATTTTTAGCATATTCTCCATTGTTGCGGCTCCTCTCTTCCCAGTCTGTCAGTAATGCTCTGTTTAGTTTCTGTCTCTATGAAGCCCCTCCTTCTGAAAAGCACAACAGTGCTCTGATTGGTCGACTGGATCAGTTTGTAGTGATTGGCCAACAGCGTTGAGCGTGTTTGGGAAATGTCCTAGCCTGGCTAACGCCAGACCCAATTCTCGTTGAGACTTGGGTCTGGGAACCACATGTTCATTTTCTCGTATTTGAGGCGTGGTTTACGAATGCCCAGAGCCGTTTATTGGGTGCTAAGAATGTCTATCAAATGCGCCTGTACGTAGCTCATAGCCAATCGTTTCAATTATACCAGATGACGTATGTAGAGCGACAGAAATTAGACGAGGGAGACGACGATGGCCGATGGGTCAGAGATTTATAGTGTAGCCTACACAATGGCGTGTATCTAACGGCCGTTTCACACCGCATGCGTGAGCGGCGCGTATTTTTTTCGGCGTGCATGTTAATCAATGAGTGCATTCACACCGGGAGCAGCGCGTGAGCGTCGAGCAGGAGCGGCGCGTGAGCAGCAGTGAAGCGGGGGTTTCGAATCTGTTTTTTGCTGCATTGCTCACGCTAAATCAAAGTGAAAGCACACTTTTGATGGACAAAAATAAATATGATTTCACACAAAAAGTGCCCAAAATGCACAGAATTAGCATGTCTAGTGAGTTTTAACAAGAACTTGAGTAGGCAAATAAAAGAAAATGAAGACTCTAAAATATTTATAGAAGATTTAGGCTATACCCGGTAAAAACTTGTTTTTAATTATTCAGTTTGGGTGAAAGTTGTGTATTATATATATATAAAAAAATAAACTAGCCAGAAAATATTATATCTAAACGTTCTTTTAGTTCATGTAACGTTAACACACAGACAGCTACAGGCTAGCACAACCCAAATTAAACCCGAGTGTGTGGTTTATTTGTGTGTTTTGTTTTTTATCCGCGGAGTTGCGGTCTTGTAAACATCGAAAGTATGACTAAAACTAATAGATTGGAGCCATTTTCTGGGTTGTTTTGTGGTATTGCATTTAACTTATATGCGAATGTTGTACACCTCCCCATTACAAACTTTCAAGACTATCAATGTTATAAAATGACCAACTTCTAAAAACAAATGTATAGTTCTTTGTAAAGAATTGCTCGCTTATATATAATGCCGAAGTCATATTTCAATGTCTTTGGAAAACAAGAAAAAACACAAAATGACTTAGGCAATTATGCTATGAGGCTAACGATATGTAGCTTTGGAGCCGCTGCTGTGACACTGTACAAACGCTTCCAGTGTGAATACTCTCGCGCGTCTGCAGCTGCCGTGACGATGTAGTTACGCTGACGCGCTGCTCAAATGCCGCTCACGCTTGCGGTGTGAAACCTATGTGTGAAACGGCCGTAAGGCTGCATCGAAAGGTAACTTCGCGTCTGCTGCCATGTTTGATCCATAGGTATAAACAAACTTCGGTGTGTCGCATAGACGCGTCACCGTCTTGCTGCTCCCTCCCCGTTCTGTGATTGGTTCCCTAAATGAGGCGAAAATTTGTTCCATGGTATCCAGACTGCCTTTCAGCGTGAATAAAATCGCGCTGCGGGAAGGCAGTATGGGGAAACCCAGACTAGAAATGTCCCGCGTCTGCAAGTTTCAGTTTCAACCTTCCGGTCTCTCTCTTGAATCCAACACAGAAGTGACTTAAACTGCAGTTCATCGACTGGCCACTAGAGACAGGCTGCAAAAGAGAGTCAATCCCATTGACCCCCATGTTAAAATGCCTAACTTTACAACAGAAAAAAATATGTTTACAGCCTGGTACAAAAAGTGGTTTTGGTCTATATAGCTAATTTTGCCCTTCATGACAACTGTGAGGGAGGTGAATTTTTTTTATAACTCATCCTTTTAAATTATATTAAGCCTTAAAGTTGTGCATAATTACGGGCGTGGCCACTTGAGTGACAGGTGGATCTCGCTGATGTCACTACTAGCCGCTTGTCTGCTGTCTGTTAGCGCCACGTCACCTCAGCTAATCCGCCTCTCCGCTCATTTTCGGTTATCCGGGAGTGACGCGCTGCCAAGATGGCGACGGCCGGCTCCGCCCACTTTGGGCTTCAAAAATGCTCTTCAGAAACACTACGGGTGACGTCACATCACTACGTCCATTATTTTACACAGTCTATAGGCTTGTTCGACTTCATGCAGCTCTGCGCAGACCGATCGGCGGCTGACTTGAAGCAGTGCATGCCGGTTAGAAATGTTGTCCGACTTGATACAGCGCCGACGCCACGTGACTGTGACGTATGCCATCAAAATACCGCGAGAGCGATTCGAGAGCAGCCGGAGAACTCAGCCAGCGCATATTCTGAAGAGCGGCTGCTCGGGGCTGCACAAGCTCTGATGACGACACAGCTGTTCCACGATTGGCCGGATTCACCGCATGACAACGATCACGTGCGTTTCGTGTTTATTCTCACACCTTTAGTTCCACTAAAGCTCACAAATCAGTTTTTTATAACAGTAAACACTCTTTTCATGTAGTCGTGATGTTAGCTATATTGTGTTATGTTTATCAAAATAAAAGTGATTAAAAACGTCGACTGCACTTCATTGATAGTGGCTATTTTGAACTTTATTCTTGTTCAAACAGATGCAGTATGAAGCAGTACATAAAGTAATTAATGAAAATGTGTCTGAAACATCTGTGCATTTGGCAAATGTTGAATTTATTTCACTTCAGCTGTGGAAAAAAGTATACAAACACCACGTGAGCTGTCACTACGGGAACCAGAAAGTGTCCGACTTCACGTCTCCATTTGCAGCTCCTCCCCGCCTGCACGCGGCTACTCTCGCCGATCGGTTACATCCAGCCACAGCCGATGTCGAACACACCTTATGGTTTCAACACACTACTAACTAACTCAACCCCTCCCCTTTATTTTGCGTATGCCTTGGGTGGGAATTATTTAAATGAGAAATATTGTGATGTATTCGTTTCCGTAAGAAAACTCAAGACTACAATGGAGGCGTTCCAGGGAGTTCAGAAACAGAGACACTGATATAGAGAATAACTCCCTCTGGAGTGACATGGGCTGCGTTTAAATTCACTTTTAGACATACACTCGCACTTCCCCTCGGGAGAATCCCCTCCGTCATTTTAAAGTGCGTTTAAACTTCGTCAAATGGATGAGGCAAGTTTATTTGGACGGACACTCGACCCCTTGAATTTGACAGAGGGAGCTCGATATGTACACTTCAGACAGATCCATAGACCACAATGCAACACGATTGTGACGATTGTGAATTTCCCCACAAGTGATCAAAGGCTTAGTGCGCTCCTTTTAAACACATTTCAAGGTTTCCGCCAGTAGTGGGCGCTCATGCAACATAAGCAACGACGTACATCCGAGTGAACGAGACAGAGTGAAGTTAAACACAACCTTTGTGCTTTGTAACTTTGCAGACCTTTTTCATGATCAAACAGCAACACTCAAGAATGCTGAAAATGTTTTTAAAAAACCCTCTTTTTAAATATTCTGAATTAATGTTTCTCAAAAAAACTTTTGATCTAAAGGCTTAAATGCTTCAAATTAGTTTCAGAACAGTAAATTGTGTTTATTTGCGCGTCTAGCACATGAGTTCCTCCTTCAGTAGTGTTTTATAAGAAGTTGCTTGATGATATGTGTGTATTTAGTTCTGGTTATATTAATTGCAACATTACAACACATGCGTTTCACACTTTTACAATACGTAGCCTAATAACTTTCGTGTATTTTCATTTGGAAGACACTGTTAGCCATGCATTTAAGGTACAAATAAATAAATAAAGATGAATAATACATGAATAGCATTTATAGTTATACACAGTCAAATAATATGGAAATGCACATTATTGCATATACAATATTTATTTCAATGTTTGAATCTGACGTGACGGCTACAACAGTCTTGCTGAAGTCGCCAGTAAATCACTGCACAAGTGTGTATTTTGTTTGTGGACATACATTTGAATATGTGTCAGTGTGAATTTGAATGCGTTTGTGATTTGAACTCTTGCTCTTAAACGCATTTATGTGTGACTCAAGCAACCAATGTGTTTCTCTGCTTCTTTTTCTCTTGTAACGTGATACAGGGTGTTGTCTACAGTCTTCCTTCCCGGAGGAAATCTCTCCTCAAACGCAGCGCGCGCTGACGGACATCGCTCGGGTCTCTGACTGACAGCACACAGACACTGAGAGTTTGGTCATTCGCCTCCAGTTTTGCAACTTGCTTGAGTTCATTTGAGTTCATTCAGTGCAATTCTCACCAAACCGTTCTTTAATGAACAGATTTTATACAAACACTCCTTAAAGTTTCTTCAATTGTTCATTTAATCGTAACAGGTTTTTTTTTTTTTTTTTGGCTGTATAGTGTTTTAAGAAATATGTTTTTCCACAGGTTCTTTCCTATCAGCTTGGATCTAACCCTTTATTTTATTACACTTTCACAGCTATTATGACACCGCCCATTTCTGATGAATTGATGGGCCTGTTATGAATGGTGGAGTATAAATATTTGAGCTGCTCTGTCTTGTAACAGGCTGTAGGTATAGAGTATCATCTGGGAACAAAGGTGACAGCATTGGGTTACTAACAGAGGCTCTCAGACAAATATATGTCTCATGTCAGGCTCCCGACCACCCGGCCGGAAATTATTTCGAGATAATGAACGTCTGACTGGCACAAAAAAAAAAAAAAAAAAAAAAAAAAAAAAAAAAAAAATATATATTGATTGGTAAGATTTTTAATGTTTTAGAAGTCTCTTATGCTCACCAAGGCTGCATTTATTTTATTAAAAATATATATATATATATAAAAAAACAGTAATATTGGGAAATATTATTAAAATGTAAAATAACTGTTTTCTATTTGAATATATTTTTAAAATGTAATTTATTCCTGTGATCAAAGCTGTATTTTCAGCATAATTACTCCAGTCTTCAGTGTCACATGATCCTTCAGAAATCATTATAATATGCGGATTTGATGCTCAAAAAACATTTATTATTATTATCAGTGTTGAAAACAATTTTGTAAATTTTTTTTCAGTATTCTTTGATGAATAGAAAGTTCAAAAGAACAGCATTTGTCTGAAATAGAATCTTTTTAACATTATAAATGTCTTTCCTGTCACTTTTGATCTATTTAATGCATCCTTTCTGAATAAATTTATATATTTTATTAAAGTTCTTTCCCCAAAAAAAAATCTTACTGAAACTTTTGAAAGGCAGTACAAATGTTGCAAAAGCTTTCTATTTCAGATAAATGCTGTTCTTTTGAACTTTTTATTTACACAACTGTTTTTCAACATTAATAATAATCATAAATGTTTCTTGACCATCAAGTAATCATATTATAATGATTTCTGAAGGATCATGTGACACTGAAGACTGGAGTAATGATGCTGAAAATTCAGCTTTGATCACAGGAATAAATTACCATTTGCTATATATTCGCATTGAAAACATCTGTTTTACATTTTAAGAATGTTTCACAATATTGCTGGGGGTTTTTTTGCATTTAAAAAAAAAGCAGACTTGCACAGTTGCAGTGTGTATACATAAATATATAAGATATAATATAAGATATATAAATATAAAATGATCCGTCTTTATATATAATAATAATATTAATATATACATTTATATACTCTTAATTTTTTTGTATCCACCACATATCATATACGAAATGCGTGAGCGTGAGCACGTGGCGCGCGATCAGCTGCGCTCTGACGTCAGCTCCCGCGCTCACACATGACTCCTGACTCTTGTGTGGTGAACACGGAAACATCATGGCTCTGCTGTTCAGTGATGAGGAGTTTCAGCAGGCCTGGACCGAACTGGACCAGCCGATGCTCGACGGAGGCTGGGAGTTCTTCACCGAGACCATGAACGTCAAAATATACAGACTTTACAACAAGGTGAATATATAATGATGAATGACTCAATGCGCACGCGCCCTGTGCATAATCAAAACAATGCAATGCAATCTGATCTATAACATCATGCATGCATGACATGGAATAGTATAATATATAACATAATACAATGGTTGCGTTTGATTATTATTTTAGGCACGATAACATAATACAATGTCCAACGTAAATGTGCTAAATTATATTGAACATCTGTACGTGATGATGATAATGACGATAACATATTCATAAGCTTCAAACTCACCTCAAAAGCAGACCGGTTGTCATAATCCATGCATTTTTAAAATGTCGAATCAAAATAAAACACAGATATGCTTGTTTTCTAGAGCAGTTGTGTATTTTGATTTAATCCACCTAACGTTAAATATATTTTTTTTATAATAAACTATAATTTCAGTATCATATTTTGTTATTAATTAGGCATTTCAGTTTAACAAAACTCTTGTTTAATCTCCGTTTTCTCCTTGTGCTTTTTAATGTTTCATGAATTACTTAATATTGTCTTTCTGTTTAACATGCTTTTTAATGGCAGCTTCTCATTGTGACAACTTGCCCCATATAAATGGGCTTTTAAAAATAAGACAACCCTGATAAAGTTGAAAGTGTGACTAGTTAAAATGAGTATATGCTATAATATAAAACATAATTCAATGGGTGAATCTAGTGGCAGTGCAGTGATTTACAACTGAACCTTTCTGTTATATAATAATTAACACAATATGTATTATAACCTCACCCATTGCATTGGGTTGGTAATATACATAATGTTTAAAAGTTACATGACATTATTTGGCTCAGTGTGGATGGAATGACCAAAATCACCTATCAAAGATCCAGATGTTTTAGTGATTAATTAGCAAAAGCAACCATGACGTATTCATTCAAGATCAGTTTCTCATCTAGTGCATGTATAACATCACATCAGTCATTCATATATCACAACGCTTGTTCAGGGTTACATGTGTTTGTGATGCATTTGTCGTGTTGAACAGGAAACGGGTTTGTACGAGTACAAAGTGTTCGGGTCTCTGGCCAGCTGTTCTCCAGATCTCCTCGCAGATGTTTACATGGATCTCAACTACAGGAGACACTGGGACTCCTATGCCAAAGGTAATCACGAGCAGGACTTCAGAAGTCATAACATCTTCATGAAAACCATTATTTCATAAGCTTTCAGTCTCAGTGTCATGATAGTTTGACTCTCAGTATTACTCGTCGTGAGGCAGGTTTAGACACATTCCTACTCTCATGAATCATCATTGAATGGATTAAATAGGTGATACACCCATTTCTGTAGCAGAACAACTCAAACAAGCTTTTGTTGTGGGTAAAAAAAACACATTTACGTTAGTCAAGTCACGTCAGCTTTATTCATATAGCGCTCTACAGTAATAAACCGGAAAACTACCGAATCATTGATGCAACTTCATCAAATGTGACACAAATTCTGATGTAAAGACGGTGTCGTTTAGCTCAAGTCAGTTCAATGTTTATTCGGTTCGGTTCAATAACTGTGTCGATTATGAAACTAATTCAGCTATAAAGCAGCTCTACAGAAGACAATAGGGTCATATTTCAGCTCACGATAATATTACAGAGTGTCTTAAAGTTATGTTATGTAGCTCAAAATAAACTGGCGCCCACTTGAAATGCATCATGGGTTGTTTTTTGACATTTTTTCCTAATGTTTTTCCACACTGAAGCTTCTCCTCTTGATGGTGGTCAGATCCGTTCACATGCGCAGGGAACTGGACTGGTACGTCATGCACATGTAGTGTCCCAGTAGATTGACCCGGTGTTTATCCTGTCATTGTGTGTGTAGACCGTGCTGTGTGTTTGATAGTGATGTGGTTTATACAGTACTAGTCTCACGTAGGCAGAAGATCTGGACTCGTTCATTGGCCGAGGACCATCCAGAGGCCCGTCTGACTGACATTTAAAGCGACCAATCACAGCTCGTTTTGTTTAGGGGCGTGAAAATGTAACGTCGATGTCCCTACTTTTAAAAATCCTGCATTTATTTGATCCAACATGACAGTTTTCTTTTTCCATGAGGGGGTTTGGCTTCACGACGCAGAACGCGACACACACGTCTCCCGGAAGTCCTGTAGAGTTCAACCAATCAGAATCCTCAAGTGTTTCTAGTCCATGCTTGACGTCTGAGGCTGAGACTTATACAGAACAGGCCTTTATATAGCGAGTTTCTCAGTGGACTGATCCAGAATCAGATCCTTCAGTCTATATAAGCTCAACCGTTAGCATGTGGAAGGCAGAAACTGACCCTGGATCAGATTTCTGTACAGTGAGCAGGTTTGCACTTTGAATCTCTTTTTTTTTTTTTGCAACAACATTAAACCTCGATCAGTACCTGTTTACTGTTTAATCAAAAGTGTTAATAGTTAAACATGAGATGGCAGAGCACCAATAAAAGAGGAGGTGTGATGTCATGTTTAAAGTGGCACATGTAGTGTTCCACTGAAGACTAGTTATAAAGTTTAAAACAGTTATAAATTAGTTATTTATGACCATTTTCTCTCTCTGACACTTATGCTGCATAAAAACTGCAAACTTTTTGTCAGTTTTCGAAAAAAAAAACAATATCAAAATAACAATATTTTTCAAATGTACATCCAGTTTGCTTGAATAAACTTTCACTTTTATGGTGAAAAGGATGATCAGTTTCTCATGCTGCAACAGAGTGAAAGTGGACTTTTCCCACACGGTCTTTTGCTGAAGTTCAATTGTAGTTTATTTATGTCTCCTTTATTTTGTCTGTCTGGGTGCAGATTCATGTTTATCGACAAAATTCACTCCTAAAAAGTGTGATATTCTGAATGTGTTTCACTAAAGTACTTCAAATTCAACTAATAAAGTGTGGCAAAATATCACGTTTAAAGCCACAGTTGATATAGTCTTGACACATCAAAGTTTGCTTGCCATACTAAAAAAAAAAACAAAACTGTGTTTCTTAGATGTTTTTTTTTACAAATCTATTCCAGGTCAAAAATGACCCGAATGCATTATGATTAAACTTACTTTACCTTTAAGACTTCTGGTTGTAAATGATCTTTGCCCACGTACTGTTGTTCACATGGTCATTAATCAGTTGTTTTACATGGTTGCTAATATGTAAATGTGTGAGGTCATATGTTAATGAGCTTGTAGTTGTGATGTCATAACCTGGATGCTTTTGAGTCGTTTAGTGATCTAGGGAAAGACTTTTGTGTTGAATTTAAGTCAAATTTAAACAATGTTAACATTGGTAATCATCAATACGGAGCTCGTTTTATTCTCCAAACGTGTACATGTTCTGTTCTCTCAGGATCTGGGAACTATTAACCCATCTTTAAAAATCAGAGTTTAGGACATGAAAGCTGTTTTTGCTCTCCAAAAGTCAAGATATCGCCGGCGATTTCATAATGCATTATTATTTTGACACATTTTTTTTTTTGGACTTTTTTTGTAGTTGCACGAGTGTGACAAGAAACTAGCTTTTGAAGCCGTTTAGTTTTCC